GAATGAAGAAAGGACAAATGCAAGAGATTTTCAGGAGGCAGACCCAAAAGGACTTGATAACTCTTTGAGTGTGAGGACGAAAAAGAATAAAATATGATTTTGAGGCTCCTATTAAATATCTTGGATGGTAGGGTAAATGGTAATGCCATTAATGAAAGTAGAGAATGCAACAGGAGCAGCCAGTTTATAAAGACATTCAGGTATCGTGAGAGAAAGCTGAAGCTTTCTTCTGAGCACTGATGAGGTCACCCAGGGGAAAAAAGTAGCACCAACTGAGCGCTGGGGATGAGAAAGTCAACCTCAGAGAGGAGTAACTGAAGAGGGAGTGGTTGAGAGGATAGGTTATGGATAGGTCAAGCAGAGTGAGGACTGATAAAAAGACACTAGATTTGACAAGGGAGGGTGTCTCTGGTCACTTTTCCCAGAATATCATAAGAAAACAGAAGGAGATAAAAGAGAAAAACTGATAGGCTAAAGAACGACTGGGAAGTGAGGAAATGGAGGCTGAAAGCATTTTGTAAGTCTGGATGTGAAGGGAAGGAGCATTACAGTGGTAGGAAAGGTGTTTATCCTTTCTCTTTTAGGGTGGAGAAAACAGTTACCGTGTTTATACGAGAAAAGCACTAAATGGTAATATGAGGATACAGAAACAAGATGGGAGAGAAGGAAGAGGGATCCAGTATACAAGTAAAGTTTAGGAAGCAAGAGGTAATCTCCTCAAAGCTAAAAGTAGGGTGATAAAAGAACAGATGAAAGTATAAATACATTTAGAGAAAAAGAAGCAGGTTGCCAATTTTTTAAAATTATAAAATAAACTCTGTGATCAGTAAATAGCACCTGAAAAATGAAAAATCCTTTGGAAATACTCTAAACACAAACGTAGCAGGACCTTGATTCAACTTACATAGAAAAATAACCCCGCAAAACAAGTCAGCTGTTTAAAGTATCCATTTAGATAGCCTAACAATCAGTGTTTAAGCTGATAAGTGCTAGTTACTACAAAATTACAGGATTCTGTATTAAAAAAAAAAAGTTCACCATCTATAAGCTACTATCTGGAGATATCTTGGGTACATATTTTGAACAGGGAAGAAATGCCTTCATGTTCTTTCTCTCTGGTAAGTTCTACTGAATAAAGTATGTTATATGCTTATGATTTTTAAAGTTATACAACAGAAGTATTTCTTTTTGAAATCATAATTTCTAAGAAATATTAATGATAGGTGTCTTTAATCTTTTTCTTTTTCTTTCCAGACTACTCTGACCCCAAGTCTTATCATGCTCTCCTTCTCATTTCCCAGTATCATTCAACTCAGAATTTTAATTTTTATGACATTCACACATTCCCCATTTTGATGAAATTGACTAGCTTTAATCGTTCCAGTAAATTTATGGTTTGGTTGGATACTACACATAAGTGAAAAGACACATTGTTTCTAGCTAGAAGTATGCTCAACATTTACGTACATTCTAGCTGTAAAATAAACTAGGTCTTTATCTTTAGCAAGTTACTTAGCATCATGATGATTCCATCACAATTAAGATTACTGTCCAAATTCTACAGTCATTTTGCCACTGGGATTACTTTGCTTTCAAACAATTTGCGTCACGATTATTAGGCATCAACCTGAATGTACATGATTCTGATATAATAAACTCAATGTCACATGAAGCAGAACTATAAAAATCATAAACATCTAATAATTAAAGCTATTCTTTCTTTCAAAAACCGAAGTTCTACTAGTAGTACTTTGAATGTTCAATAAATATTTACTGAGTGCTTAACAGGAAGCAGACACTGTTCTACAAATGTGGGATTCAACAAAAACACAAAACTTTGCCCTCACGGAGCTTATATTCCAGTATGGGAAAACAAATATAAACAAACAAACAGTAAATTCAGATCATGATAAGTGCTATGGACAAATGTAAAGGAGGGGAGACATGGAGTGTCAATGTATATATAGTTATGGGAGGCCTTGATCAAATAACAGTTGAGTGAGACTGAAGGATGTAAGGCATGAGGTACACATACAGCTGAGTTTAACAACTAGTCCCCTTGTTGTGGAGCACGGGCTCTAGGCATGTGGGCTTAGTAGTTGTGGCTCACGGGGTTATCTGCTCTGTGGCATGTGGGATCTTCCTGGACCAGGGCTCAAACCCATGTCCCCTGCATTGGCAGGCAGATTCCTAACCACTGCACCACCACGGAGGTACAAAGGGTCTGAGGCAGGAGTGTACTCGGTGTTTCTGAAGAGGAGCATTGAGGCTAGAGTGCCTGGAGCTGAATGAGATGGGGAAAATGGTAGTGAATGAGGGTAAGAGAGGGAGTGTGGGCCTGCTAATTTTAAGGATTTTGGTCTTTAAGTGAGATGGGGAGCCACTGGATGGTTTTGAGCAAGTGAATATGATTTGATTTCTTTTAAAAATAATCACTGTGGCTACTTCGGGGAGAAGAGACGGCAGGAGCACAAGTATGAAGAGAGTTTTTGGAGACTATAATTCAGTCTATGCAAGAGATGATGGTGGTCTGGAATAGGATGTTAATATCAGAGGTCAAAAGAGGTGGGCAGCTTAAAATATATTTTGAAGGTAGTTTGCTGATGGATTGGATATGAGAGAGAAAAGAAAAAAAAGAAGCAAAGATGACTCCATTGTTTTGGACCTGAGCAACTAGAAACATGGCATTGCCATTTATTGAGTTGAGGAAGACTGAAGGATAACCAAGTTTGGGAGGGAAGATCAAGAACTCAGCTCTGGATGTGTTGAGTTTGAGCTTTAATTACATCTCTATGTAGAGATGTCAAATAAGCAGTTTCACACACACACACAAGCTCCAAGTCTGGAGTTCAAGGGGTGGGTCTAAGCTAGGGGTAAAATTTGGGAGTTGACAGCATGAAATTGGATGAGATCACAGTGAGTTCAGACACATAACAAAGAGGACAGGTCCAAGAAAACTTCTTCCTCTTAAAAACATGGATGTAAAGTTAAAATCATAAGCAATTTTAAAGGTATGGATCTAAATAGTTCAAAATGTAGAGAACTCCCATACCTTGAAAGCTTACTTCAACTGCCTGCTGCCCAACTTAACATTTTAAAGAAATTTTGATTTACATGTAAATCTAAGAAACTCCAGAAAGCCTCAGAAAACCCCTTAGGGGTCACCTTGGCCCATTGGCCTCAAAAATAATAAGGAATTAATTTTTCCAATGACATAGCCATTACAGGTTTTACCTTAAATTTGCTTAAAAGCAAATATCAGTTAATTCATTTAACTAAGAATACATTAATACATTATAAAAGAAGTATAAAAACATGTAGCTGGAAAAACTGAAGCCTTGCTCTAATGTTCTCCTCAGTCTGTCCTGGGAAAATGTGGCAGGATTCTCATGCTAGAATTCCCACCACACACAGTATCAGATCACATGTTTCAAAAGAAGAAACAGTAAAGCTCTTTTAAATTTCTATTTTGGAATTTTCCTTTTATGACTTTCCAACTTTGTATTCTGCATACCCAAAGTTGGATTTTTTTAATGGAAAAATTGATTTTATTCAGTATTTAATATGTCACAGATTCATCATACATGGGTTTACATAAATTTTCTTTGTATGTAGGATTCCACAATGCGTCATAGCCTACGAGTTCAGTCTGTGTGGATTTATCTACTTTTGAAGCAAAAGTCTTCTGTAAGTGCTGGACTTTTTCTAACTCTTCCTGAAGTTGGGAAATGAGTTCATCCTTCTCTTTTAGCTGCAGCATCAAGCACTGAGCATTCATCTTTTATATCCCAACAAATTCTCTGCCAGCAAAACAAGAAGCTCCCAAGACAAGATCGCCTGTTAGAGGAATCCCCTACATACCTAAAGTTATAATTACAGTTGACCCTTGAACAACACGGGGGTTGGGGTGCAGACGCTCCGTGCAGTGAAAACTCTGTGTTTAAAACTGTACAGTCGGGCTTCCCTGGTGGCGCAGTGGTTGAGAGTCCACCTGCCAATGCAGGGGACACGGGTTTGTGCCCCGGGCCGGGAAGATCCCACATGCCGCGGAGCGGCTGGGCCCATGAGCCATGGCTGCTGAGCCTGCGCGTCCGGAGCCTGTGCTCCGCAACGGGAGAGGCCACAACAGTGAGAGGCCCGCGTACCACCAAAAACAAACAAACAAACAAAAAAAACTGTACAGTCGGCCCTCTGTCTCCATGGATGTCTTCTGCATCCATGAATTCAACCAACCTCAAATCGTGTAGTACTGCACTACATATTTAGTGAAGAAAATGTGAGTATTAACTGGACCCGCCTGGACAGTTCAAACCCATGTTGTTCAAGGGTCCACGATATACTGTAGTATAGTCTTAGAGAAATATATAATGTTGCATTTATAAAGGTAATATCAAAAGGGTTACCTTTAAGGGGATTTAATTCTTGAATCACCATTTATATCTTACAAGTTAACCTGAAAAAATTCAAATGCAAATGAGTCACTCAATTGTTCATTCTGCATAGTGCCAATACCTGAATACTGACTATTTTGAACAAAACTATGACTGTTTGGATTAGCACCGTTTGATGGTCCTGACTCATTTATCATACTGTTATCTGCACAATTAAAGTCAGATCCCTCAAATGCCTCTGACTGTGAAACAAAAGCAGTAGTACTAGAACTGGCGACTGCTGACATACTGGAAGAGGACATCTGATGGAGCTGTCTTAAGTCTCTTGGGTCTAACACTGAAGTACAGGCAGGATTTTCAAGATTCATGCTCACAAGTCTTGGATTATCAGTCTCCCTCATGCTGTCATTACTGGGCGTTATCATGTTCACAGGGCAATTAGGCAGCATGCTGGCATCAGAAATACCATATAAGTCAGCTGGTGACACAGATGATGCTTCCATTCTGCCTATGTCATTAGTATTGTTATAAATGCAAGCATTAGACACATTCAAATCACTCACAACAGACATTTCCAGGAATGGTGGGATAACTTGTGAATTAGAGGGAAATGTCCCTGTTGAAAAACTACTCATTGAATTTGTATTGACTGAACGTGAGGTGGCGTGGGCCACTGATGACCAGCTTGAAGAAGGCTGAGGTACCATTGGGGGTATGGCCGAAGCATTATGTGGCAATGCACTTGAGATGGGCGCAGATGAGGAATAGTAGGATTCTGCTTGACTTGAAACTGGCCTGGACGTTTCTGTCAAAACTGCACCATGCGAAAACAAGATTGGTTCTGTGGGGGAGGAAATGTATTTGTACAAAACGGAAATGAACAAAATTATAAAAAGCATTACTTCTAAATTGAAATTACATAAACACATAAAAAATTTTAAAGGAAACCAATGTAACACTTCAAATATAAATGTTAAATAGCACTAAAAATTATTACGAGTCCAAAATTGAATTCTTTAATACTAATTGTTTTACAAATACCTATAAAATAATTTTGGTAAGTTACTTTGGCATTGAAAATTTCACTCCAGTTAAATGTGGAAATCTAGCTTCTGAGGCCCTATAAAGGTATTTTTGAAATGTGAAAGATAAATATCAGAATTTCAGTTAATGGGCCTCTAAATATTCAAAATCATTTCATATTCTCCTCTTTAGGAGAAAATGGAGGGATGGAGGAAACATTCATTAGGGATGACTTAAAAATCTACATAAATTTCCAAGCTATATTAAGATACTACTCACTCTAAGGTACTACAAAATTCCCAGTCAGAAAAAAAATGAAGGAGTCTGTATTTATTTACATGTTATATGACTGCTGTACCTATTAAACCAAGAAAAAGCTCTGATTTAAGAATGTAAAAAGAAAAAAAGACTTCTAATTAACCCTGGTTGAATGATCTAAACCAGAATTTGGCAACTTTTTTTTCCATAAAGGGCCAGAGAGTAAATATTTTAGACTTTGTGAGCCATATAGCCTCTGTTGGAACTACTCAACTCTGCTGCTATAGTACAAGAAAAGCAGTCATAGACAATATGCAATCAAATGAGCTGTGTTCCAGTAAAACTTTACAAATAAATAAATAAAGATAGGCAACGGGCCAGATCGAAATCATTTCTTCCATGACACACTGTAATTAGTAAAATTACCACCATATGAATGAAATGTAATTTCTCAAACAATAAATCCCCAAAACATAATTATAGTTGTCAACAGGTCTTTCGGAAGCTGAGATAAATTCATTCAATATTCATAGCATAAAAAATATGTAGGAGTGGAATAAATCAAAGAGGCAGTTTTCATTCCTAAGAATGGAATTCCAATATACTGTGCAAAGCACTGGTCTCTCTAATCACAAGGAATACTGTATAGGGAATAAAATACCTTTTTTGATGAATCTTCCTTCTCCAGTTGATCCTAGGGGACTGGGTCTAGGTCTTTCAGGAAAATTAACTCCTATGATAAATTTTTTCCATTATTAAATGTAATTTGAAAAACAACAGTATATCAGTTAAAATTTGAAAAACTGAATAAAGCAAAGCAAAACAAAACAAAACAAATTTACTTAAATACAAATCAATCCAAAATGTTCAGGGACTTCCCTAGTGGAGCAGTGGTGAAGAATCCACCTGCCAAGGCAGGGGACACAGGTTCAAGCCCTGGTCCGGGAAGATCCCACATGCCGTGGAGGAAATAAGCCCATGCGCCACGACTACAAAGCCTGTGCTCTAGAGCCTGCAAGCCACAACTACTGAGCCTGCGTGCCACAACTACTGAAGCCCGTGCACCTAGAGGCCGTGTTCTGCAACAAGAGAAGCCACTGCAATGAGAAGCCCGCGCATTGCAACAAAGAGTAGCCTCCGCTCGCCGCAACTAGAGAAAGCCTGTGGGCAGCAACGAAGACAAATGCAGCCAAAAATAAATAAATAAATTTATTAAAAACAACAACGACAAAATATTCTTACCACAATCCTGCCACAGCTTCTGGAAAAGTAGAGTTGTTTTTTGTTTCTTTGCTTTATTGCCATATGTATCTGGTCAGAAAGAAACCGAGAAAATGTGATTCATCATGGGATTATGCTTCCTCTCCTTTAATAAATACACAGATGTTTTACTCCTACATAGAAAATGCTCTAAATAAATGTACAGGAGACTCTTTCCAAGATGGCGGAGGAGTAAGACGCAGAGATCACCTTCCTCCCCACAGATACACCAGAAATACATCTTCACGTGGACCATCTCCTACAGAACACCTACTGAACGCTGGCAGCAGACCTCAGCCCTCCCAAAAGGCAAGAAACTCCCCACGTACCTGGGTAGGGCAAGAGAAAAAAGAATAAACAGAGACAAAAGGATAAGGACGGTACCTGCACCAGTGGGAGGGAGC